TTCAACTTCACGACGAAGGGACCGCTGGTTGTCAACAAACATTTCTCAATTTCAGAGCCAATTTCAACTTCACAACGAAGGATATTGGACTCCAGACAATGCAAGTTCAACTTCACGACGAAGGGACCGCTGGTTGTCAACAAACATTTCTCCAATTCAGAGCCAATTTCAACTTCACAACGAAGGATATTGGACTCCAGACAACGCAAGTTCAACTTCACGACGAAGGGATCGTTGGTTGTCAACAAACATTTCTCAATTTCAGAGCCAATTACAACTTCACAACGAAGGATATTGGACTCCAGACAACGCAAGTTCAACTTCACGACGAAGGGACCGCTGGTTGTCAACAAACATTTCTCAATTTCAGAGCCAATTTCAACTTCACAACGAAGGATATTGGACTCGGAACAATACTTGGATTTCAACTTCACGATGAAGGATATCCAATTCTCAGGCTCACCTTCAAGACGAAGGAGCCATATACAAATTCCAACTTCACAAACAGATTGACTCAACTTCGCGACGAAGGAGTCATCTGTAACACCACAACGCCACAGTCTTCAGATCAAGGGTCACCTTCACGACGAAGTACCTTGAACCAGAAGATGATTCAGAGGCCACTTGTCAAAAGCTTTGAGCTCGTCTTCAACTTCGCAACGAAGGATTTCGTGCTCAGAATTTTCCAAATTTGACTCAACCTCACAATGATGGAGACATTTTGTGATTGACAAACCAGTCTCAACATCGGATTTCAACTCTACGACAGAGGGTATTCGATATGGCCAAAATTTGTGTCTTTTAATCTTTGCCCTATTTTCGTTACACGATAATGGGCAAAGAGGGGCAGCTGAAGACACCAAATTTTGTCCTTTAATGTTGTTGCATTATATAATATATGTCCTTTAATGTCGTTACATTATATAATGTATTTACATCATAGGTCATATTATATAAATATATCTATTACATTATTGTTCCCATTGGTTTTACAGGTCCAAAAGCCAAATGCCAACAAGAACCAGTGGCCCAAACAAGGCCCAGTAACCCATGACCTATATCAGATTAGGGTTTCCAGAGACCCTAATCCCATCTCATCCAAGCCAGCGCCGCATCATCAAGCCTCACGGGTCCTCATCTCCGAGTTTCACGGCGCACGTCTCTCGCCTCCAACAGCTTCGAAGTGTCCGACGCTCGTCACCAACAACCAACACAAGTAGAGTTCGATTAGGACTCAAACAAGGCTAAAAATAGGGTTTATTTGTATTATAAATAATAAGCTTGTAAACCGAGTAAGGGGAGGACGGTTTTTTTTACGAATAGTGAAGAGAAATACAAGCCTTTTTTTTGCACGCATACACACTGCTTTACACGATTTTTTTTCTTTTCTTTACACAAAAATACAAGATATATATAGAGATTTGAATGTTGAAAGAAAAGAAAGAGAAAAAGAGAGGAAGCTATACCTTGTTCCCATTTCGGAAGCCGGACGGTCACCAGAGTTCCAAACTTTCGAAAGGTAAAAGATTAGATCTAGGTGTTAGGGGTCGATTTTTAGCCGAAATAAGTTGGGAATCGGGTTAAGGGTGAGAAAAGGAAATTTTTGGGACCGTTTTGGTCCCTGCGACCGCCGTACGCCGCCGCACCGGCCGCCGTGGTTATCGCCGTTGACGGGCGGCGTTCCCTTCCCCGGTGAGGGAAGGTTGAGAGAGTTTCAACTCTCTCTTTCTTTCTGGTTTTGGAGAAGAGAAGAAAATGAGTCTTAAAAAAAATGTTGACTTATATATTAAACCCGTTCCAGCATTACGACCCGACCCGATGAACTCCTCTGACCCGCGTGTTTTTTACAAGAAGGGAGAGATTCACGTTTTGGTTCTCCAGTTTTTAAATCATTTAATTTGGCCCTCTGAATCGATTATTGAACCCGAAATCCTTGTAAATTGACCCTTGAATTTATTTCGTTTTCAATTTAATCCTTTTTCTTATTATTTATATATTTTTTATTATATATATATTATACTCACATTAATTATATCTACCTACCCCCCACCGTTTTTTTCTTCATTTTTATGCACTGCTCTACTTTGATTAATTAATAGATTAGGTTTGACGTTTTTAACTTTATGTTATCATTATTTATTCTTTTTCGTCTTAGCATTTATTTATCATTCTTTCACTATGGTTTTCACCCGTTTCATTTAATATTATATGTATATGTTATCATCTTTCTTCATTTTATTTATTTATTTTTATCTTTACTTTTTCATTCTTTTATTTTCTTTATTTCGTTCGTTTTTGTATTATTTATTTTCATTTTTTCTAACACATTTTTGAATTTTAAAGGGTATTTTTTTTGATAAATCAGAGGTAAGTAATTTAGATCGCTATTTTTACCTTTTAATTTAAAATTACAATTTTCTTAATTAAAGACGACTGGAAATTACATAGTACCGAAAGGGCAGTTCAAGGGTGCTAACCCTTCCTTGACTGTAACCGGCTCCCGAATCCGACATATCACTGGTAAGAAGCGGATCAAGTAAGAAATAAGGTATCCGATCAACCCGTTTTATTTTTAAAATAAATGATCGGTGGCGACTCCAATCCATTTGCCTAAGTCGAAGCCCAATTTCGGGCCCAACCGAAAGACGGTCCCGACAAAAAGAAAAATAAAAAAAAAGAAAGCTAACCCGTGTATAAAGACGGTGATCAACGACGATTGACGAATGACGGCAACAGCGACCAACTATTGACGGCGGCTACGTATACCGATAAGAGTTTGAAAATAAAAGTTTAGTGATAGAGTTCAAATGTCGTAATATACTAACTACTGATATTCGAATAATAAAGATCTAGAAAAATTGGAAAAAAAATTAATCAAACGCGTGTTTTATCAAACATGTGCCTAATCAAACTGGCTTTTATTTTTCTATTAGTAAGATACAATGTAACAATTAGATTTGGGTTCATCAATTTAATAAATTAAAAATTTTAATATATTATTTTTTCGAGTAGCTCGTGAGTTTTTCGAGTCGAGTATCAAGTAGCTCGCTTTTGCTCATTAAGAATTCGATTCAAGTTCGGGCTTGAGTCGAGTTCATTTGATTCAAGTATTGACCGAACTTTGACCGAGTCAATCTCGAGTAGCTCGCGATCTATCTCGTCTCATTTACAATTCTATTCATAGACGTTGATTATGTTCCCCACTTCTGGCTCCTTTTACTAAAAAAATCAATTAAATATTACAAAATTAGAATTTTTTTTGCTTAATAATATGTGAGGCCCTCAAAATTTTCCAAAAAAATCAATGTCCCTCAAATTATTTTTGTAATCAAGGGCCCTCAATTCAAACTCAGGAAATAAAACTTAATGTGGCCCTTCGAACAATAGTTTTCGTCGTTGACCTTTATAATGTTGACGCGATAATTCACAATACTTACGTGACAATCCACGATGACTGATGACATGATAGATTAGTTAAATTGATTTTTTTGTCGAGTTCGAGGGTAATTGATTCTTTTAAAAGTTCAATGACTTATTTGACTTTTGTAAAAAAATAAAAAATATTTCAATTTTAAAATATAAAAATATTCAAAAAAATTAAATATAAAAAATACTAAAAATTAAAATTAAATTACTAAAAAATTAAATATATATATATATATATATATATATATATATTAAAATTTAAAAAAATAATAAATCAAAAACAATAAAATTAGAGATTAATATATATATATTAAAAAAACAAAACAAGTATTTAGCGTCCAAAACATGCTTTGATACACTAATAAAAAATATCGTTTTAGCTTTAATTAACGTTAATTCGATTCAATCCAAAATTCATCCCCTCTTTTATTAAAATAAAAAAAAATATTTTTTTAAATCTCCCATTTAATTTGAAATTCATAAACCGATTTAAATTTTATAATTCTTATATTTTCAAAGTTTTTCTGTAATTTCTCTCTTGTATTGGTGAATATTCGACTGAATCCGAATTAAAAATTTCTTATTTCTGAAACTGGACTCTATTTTTCTAGACTTTCGCTAAAAAAAATCCCCTCCCGCATCCGCAGACTTCGATTATTATTATTATTATAGGTATAGTACGCAAATGATCACGACTATAGGACATTATTTTATTAAGTTCCCCGACTATTAAAAGCTACAAAATAGTATTCTAGCTATGTAATATTGCTTTGTTAAGGCCTCAAATTATTAAAAGTTACAAACAAGTCACCCACTATTCACATATTCCAATCTCATCATTTTTCGCTAAAAAAATTAACGAAAGTCTAAAATGGATGTAAACCTATTGATTAGGATATTATAAGATATGATCCCAGAAACTCAACGAACTATCATATCTCAATCAACATGTTAACATCTAGCTCATACTGAAGTAAATTTTTAACAAAAAAAAGATAAGAGTTTGGAACATATAAATAATTAAATGACTATTTTGTAACTTTTAATAGTCAAGTGACTCAACAAAGCAACACCCTATAGTCAGATGACTATTTTGTAACTTTTAATGGTCAAACGACTTAATAAAACAATGTCCTATAGTCGAGAGACCATTTATATACTTTACCCAAAATTTGAGATTAAGGGGAGCAAAAGTAAAGTGAAACTCAATGGGAACAAAGTTCTAACTTACCTCCAACTAGTAGTAGTAGGTATACATAAAACAAACAAAAATAAATTGTTTATGAAGTATTTCACTGCCCCCCTAAATTCTAAATCCATCATCTAAGACAAAAGGGTATTTTGGTACATCAACATACAGGCTATGTCTGAGCTATCATGCAGCATTACTAAACTAAGAGTTGCAGGGAAACATTTTAGAACAACAAACTCAGTTGACCCAATGGGATGATGACAACTGATGCCTATAACTTCTTCACTAATTTACATTATACAAGCCCACTCTCTCATTCTTAATTTTCTCAAGAAAATACACCGTTGCTGACCTGTGGCATCGGTATGGGTTTGCCGGGGTATGGGTGAAGCTTACTGCCGAGGTACGGGTGGCGTTGACTGAGGGTTTTGCCCATAAAACCCAATACCTGGTGGCCGGTAAAATCCTCCAGTGGTTGGTTGCTGCTGAGGCTGAGATTGTGGCTGTTGCTGAGGCTGAGACTGTGGCGGATGTGGAGGCTGAGACTGTGGCGGCTGAGAAGTAGACCTAGCTAAATTCATTGCTATATGTGGGGGAAGAGGAGGTGGTGGTGGCAGCGTGTTTGCTCCATATCCATAAGGCATAACCCCTATCATCATACCAGTTGACTGCATATATTGACTAGCTGATGGATTTGCAGGAGAGAGCGAGGGAGGTGGAGCAGAAGCAAAGGGAGCTTGAATTTGGTTGCCTTGAGACACCGGTTGCATACCAGTCGACAGTGCAAGTGGCATGTTGTTCATGGCCTGCTGCTGCAGAGGGTTAAAATACGTAGTGCTGGGGATGTCTGAATTGCTTGCATCTGATACAGGCATTGTTTTTTCAAGTTTGGGACGCTTTTCAGGAGGAAACATTGATAATGCTGATGCAAACCCACCGGAATTTAAGCTACCATTCATAGAGGCAGCTTCTTCTGCAACAAGTGACGAAAGTACAGAGGTAAGCATCTGAGCAGAAGATGTTGACGCAGCAAGCTTAGCAGCAACAGCAGCAGCTGCTGCTTTCTTGTTATCTTCTTCAATCATTTTTGAAGGCACAACGGAAGTCAAAGGTTGCTGAAGATGAGGCTGAGATAGAGTGCCGGATGGCTGAGCAAAAGGAAGGTTCTGTTCACCCACAGCTACAGCCTCAACTGCAGGAATAGAAGTAGTAGTTACATGGCCACGCAAGGGGGGTAAACTCAGCTTGTTCCTTAAATTGTTTCCTTGATCAATCTGACCACGAGCAACCTGCAGGCATCATCACATTCACTTCATTTTGAGAAAATAGAAACGGATTTTCTGCTTTAGAATATCTTAACAGACAACTCTATAACTTTAACATCTTATTTGAGGCAAATTATCAACTCAAGAATTTGTTAGTAAAATGAAATTCTTACCTGCAGCTGACTACGAATATCCTCCAGCTTTGATTCCTGAAAAAACTTTAAATTATTGAGTACTAAACAAGGACAAACATTTGCAAACTGTAATTTCCAACTCAAGAAGACATGATAGTAAAGAAAGCATACTTGTTCCTGAAGTGCTTCTTTAAGTTGAAAAATCAAAGCAGCCCTGCTTGTTTCAATGTTTTCAAGTTGTTCAACACATTGTTGGAGAGCGTTTTCTTGCTGCTCTAGCTCATCTAGCAAGGCGGATCCATTCTTATTCCCTAACCAAAATCAAACACATGCACATAAGTAATATCAGGACATGTCACAGTAAGATAATTTAATTTTTCAACGAGTCTTCTATACCCCTCAAGATCAACAAATTATTTACTTTAAAAATGAATTACACACATCAATAAATAAGGGAGAGAGAAGCACAAAAATTGTGCTCCTAGGATTTTACTTTTGGCCGAAAGATGGGTCTTATACTAAATTGCATGTGTTCCAGTTCTAATATTTGGAGGTAACATGAAATAACTTTAAAATTGGACTCAGAGAGACTAAAACCATGAAGTATCTTCATGTTAGAATGATTTATGACCGACTGGCAAACATAGTTTGAAAGCCTAGCAAAAGTAGGAATTCACCCTACCAAGAGACCTCTGTTCCAGAATTAAGAATCCCAGGCACTTATGAGATTTCAATCTTCATACATCTAAAATAGCAAGAATTTGCCACATGTAGAGTTGACTTCAGATGTTCTTCTGGTTCTTGCAGCTTCGGTATTCATTTTACAATGGTGAAAAGATCTCAATAAAATTACATTTAAATAAAACTATTGGTACAAAGAGACGGAGAGAGAGTAATTTTTCATTTTATTGGTAAATAAAATCTCAATAAAATGTACGCATACAAAATGAAATCCCATAGCAGAACTCATACCTTGAGCTAAACTACTTTCAACGTTTTCCCCAAGTTTACTCAAATTTTGTACAGCAGCATTACACTTGTTTAAAACAGTATCGTCATTTGGATTGTCCTCGAGCACAGATTGGTATGCAGTTAGTATCTTTTCGGGAAGACCTCCAACAGCCAATTTCTGATGGTAAGAAGAATAAGAAAAACATATCAAAAATTACAAAAGAATAGACCAAGAAAGCGTCCAAAGTCATAAGAATATAAATAAAATGGCTAGAATCAAATTAATAGATCAAAGTAGAAAGGAGAACTGAACAGGTAAACTCTTACAATTCTTACTGCATGAGCATCCCTCTTAACTATCTTGATAGGATTTGAGCCTTTTCCATTGTTCACAGCAGCAGCAGGAGGATTCTTCCCAAACATTTCATCTTTAAGATTCTGTCCTCGAGAACCAAAAACTTTTCTTTCTTCCCATATGTCAACCTAACAGTTACCATGCAAACAAGCCCCCAAACCCATCACCCCAGAAGGAAAAGTGGGAAACCCAAGAGAAGAGGGGAAGAAAAGGGAAAACATGTAAAAATAATAATAACAAAACAGCATGAACCACTACAACACTCTTTCAGTAAACGAAAGATAATCTACTAAAACACACTAGGATATACTGTCCTAACTCCCAAGTACAAAATAGATGGGGCCAAATACTAAATAAAGCACTAGAACTTTCTCTAGCTTCCTAAATGAGCCCCTATTCTATCAAGAGAAAGCTCCTAATCTATAATTCATATCCAGGTCGGCCCTTATGTTTATAATCAACGAGTTTCGACAAATCAAAAAAGCATTTCATCTTTCACAACAGTAAAGGTGCCAGCATGCAAAAAACCTAATGCCGTGTGTTATGTGATATCTTTTGGTTCTAAGGGCACCTTTAGACGATAAATTTTAAAAGTTTTTAGAAAATTTCTCTAGCAATGGAGAAAAATAATAGAAAACAAACAAAACATCTCGCAAAATTAAGGTCCATCAAACTTTATTGGTGTCTCAAATATCAGTATAGTTGTAGCAGAAGAAAAGTTCTTTTTTTTGATAAAAAGGAATGCCTCATTAAAAAACTCCTTCATAATCGTCAAGCAACAAGAGTGGCTCAACGTACATTGTGGAAGGAGGAAAAGAGTGCCTCAAAATTTTATTGCATATATCCAAGTACAAGAAGAATACGATACCACCAAACAACCTTGACTACCACCTCAAGAATGAGCTATAATAAACAACTACAGAAACACAACAATTACCTAACCAAACTCATAAAAACTATATCCTAAAGACAATCAACCAACCGCAAGCAAAACAAAATTATCAAAAACGACCAAAGTTCCCCAAATACAACACACTCAATGCAACAAAAATACCCCAACCAATTAGCTTATCCCCAACTTAGCAAATTCATCCGCTTCCCAGTTCGCTGCTCTCAACACATGCCTATCAATAACACCTTTATCAACCAGAATCGAGGCGATATCTTTAACTATGGATAAGAACAACGAGGTGGTGGCAGCAGGATTCTTGATCCAATCCACAACCATAGCACTATCGGATTCCAAAACATCCCCGATTCCAAGAAAAGCAACAACCCTCTCTTAATTGCCAACAGTTCTGCTAGAATGGGGGGCCAGAACCAACTCTCTCAGAGAACAATCCCAACACCACACATTTCTCATCTCTAAGCAACCCTCCGATGCCACCTTTCAACCACATTCTATCCATAGCACCATCCACGTTCACTTTAACAAAACCGATTGGAGGCAGAGACCAGCTCACCAAATTTGAAGGGATCCTATCAAGATTTGAAACACGATCAGCTAATGAAGGATCCCCCACTAGGCTATCCAAAGAAATCAACACTTTTGGAAATTTTGAGGTAAACCATGCTGCTACTCTATACCTCGAGAGAAAGGATAACAATTCAAAATTCAACTTTCCTTTGTTAAATACGATCTCATTCCTCGTCTTCCAAATTGACCACAAAACGGTTCCTGGTATAAACCCCCAAATGGTTGATCGAGACACAAGGTCAAACCAACTGGAAATAAGTGCTGCAGGACACTCAGGAATAGCAAAAAAGACCTCCCAAAGCCGCAAAAAGCTCACCCATAAACCCCAAGACACTTTACACGAAACAAACAAATGAAAAATAGTTTCCTGAGCCAGCCCGTAAAACGGACAAGATGGATCTTCAATCCCTTGCACCCCACGTTTAATTAAATTCACTTTGACTGCTACCTTCTTGTGCACCACCTGCCAAACAAAAGTTTCAACCCGAGAAAGAGCCACACCAGACCACACATGTCTTGACCACCAAAAACTGTCATCCGAATTGTCAAGAAGGATTCTAAGACAAGATTTAATTGAGAAACGACCATCACCTTCTCCTGACCACACAAAGTTGTCATCAATCAAAGGCAAGGGATTAAAATTATACAACAATGAAATAAGTTCATCCCATTGCAGCATCTCCCAATCGGCAAGATTTCTTCTCATTGGAATGTAACAAAAACAACCTGAGGAGTTTAATTTCCTGAAATCAGCAAACTTCCCCTCCTTGTTAATTGAAAAAGAGTGAACAACCTTGGAAAAAGCTCTTTCAATGGAACTCCATCAAGCCAAGCGTCATGCCAAAACAAAATTGAATCCCCATTGTCCACCTTCATTTTAAAATTACTCCGCAAACAAACTCCAAATTCATCATTCGAACAGCAATTGTTAACAACCCCCTTCCATATCCAAGATGCTTTGTAAGAGGCCGAATTTCCCAACCACATTTCCCAACCACATTGAATTAGGATCAATTTTGTTATTGCAGCAAATAATCCTTTTCCACCAAGAGTTTTTCTCATTAGCAAATTTCCACGTCCATTTTCCCAATAACGCTCTGTTCATAAGCTCTAAATTAGGAACCCCAAGCCTTCCCAAAGCCTTAGGCTTGCAAACGGTAGACCAGTTAACCCAATGAATTCTGCTTTTGGCAATCAAATCCCCCTAAAGAAATTTCGCCATAATTGAATTAAGCCTATTCAATACACAACTTGGCATTCTGAAAATTTACATGAAATATGCCGGCAGGGAACAAAGAACCGATTTTATCAACACAACTCTACCAGCAATAGACAAAGAAGTTGCCTTCCACCCAGCCAATTTCTTGTAAATTTTTTGAATAACCGGGTCCCATAATGATGTTGAATTTTTCTTCGACCCAAGAGATAACCCCAAATAATTTGTTGGAAAAGAACCCATTGTACACCCTATTATAGAAACCCACTCACTAAGGACCCCTTCATTCACATTGATTCCGAATAATCTGCTCTTCGATAAATTAATTTGCAAGCCAGACATCATCTCAAAGATCAAAAGCACCCTACTCACATTCTTCAACTCTGATCAAAGCGTTTCAAAAGATTAATAGATCGTCTGCAAATTGGAGGTGAGATAGCTTAAAAGGAATTACCCAGACTTTCAATCTCAAATCCTCTAAACAAGCCTAACAACACAGCCTTCGACAACATCAAGCTCAATAATTTACCAACCAAATTAAAAAGAAGAGGAGAAAGAGAGCAACCTTGTCGAAGACCCCTCGCAATCCGAAACTCATCCGAAGGAGAACCATTCACTAAAACCGAAATTGAAGCCGTAGACACACACATTTTCATCCAAGATCTCCACCTCTGCCCAAACCCCATACTATCCATGATTTTCAGCAGTACACTCCAATCAATTAAGTCATACACTTTCTTGAAGTCAACCTTGAATGTTATTCCTTCAAGGCCTTTCCTTCTCCAACAATCAATCCCCTCGATCGCAATAAACGAACAGTTCATAATATGCCTCCCCGGAATGAAGGCGAATTGGGAAAGGCCAACAACTGAATCCATACATTGTCGTGATCTCCTAGATAATATCTTCGACAAAATCTTATAAATACCTCTGACAAGGCTAATCGGTCTAAAATCCTCTAATACTTTTCGAACTTGTCTTTTTCGGGATAAGGGTAATGAAAGAGTGGTTTACCCCTTTATCCCATCTTTTTCCCACATAAAAATCACTGAAAAACCTCAATATTTTCACTTTTAAATTTGACCAGAACTTTTTGAAGAATCACATTGTCAATCCATCCAGCCCCAGGGCTTTGTTACTATTTGAGGACGAAATTGCATTCGAAGCTTCTCCGTTCGAAGATGGTATCTCCAAGAACGATTTATGCTCCACTGAAATCTTGGAGAAATTGAAATCCAATGCCTCTACCTCAACTGTAGGATTAATACTGTAAGCTTCTTTGAAAAAATTTACAAAGCTTGATTTAATAACTTCAGGATCCGTCGTTAACTGACCACCCACTTTCAACGCTTTAATGGCATTCACCCTTCCTCTGTTTGCAGCACACATGAAAAATCTAGTGTTACAATCGCCCTCTAAACACCATTTCACTCGTGATTTCTGCAGCCAAACCAGCTCCTCTTTTTTATACAGGTCCCAAATCTTCTTTCTAGCCATAACCAAAGACTCCATAGATACGGAATAGAATCCCTGCTGCATTTCAATTTTCGTGTCAATATATTTTTCCAGCTCCGAAATGGACCCTTACATTTTGATAAGGCTGGCTTTAGACCACTTTTTGATTGCCGCTTTAGAGCAGTTTAGAAGACTGAAAATCCCTTTTCTCCTGCTTCCCATCCTTACTTTCTGAAATTCCTCTACCATTTTCTCTTTAAAACCTTCATCCTCTAACAAATAATTAAACAATCTAAATGGCTTCTGCCCCCAATTCGACCTTTTACTTTCTAGAATAATTGCATTATGGTCGGATAAAGATCTCAGGAGCATACTCATATTTAGCATTGGAAACACCGATAAGAAATTCGGATCTACAGAAACCTGTCCAATTTAACAAAAGTAGAAATTTCCCTGTTGTTACACCAAGTGAAGTTCCCACCCAACAAAGCAAGATCATTCAGATTAGTCCTGTGCACGAACTCATTAAAAATTCTCATCGAGAACCTATTCTGATTTCTCCCCATTTTCTCCTCTTGTGATAGGTATGCATTAAAATCACCTCCCAAACAAATAGGACAATCTAGTTGTAGCACAAAAGACAACAACGCCTCGAAGAAAGATTCTTTCTCCGAATCTATTGATGGCCCATACACATTAATAAACCAACATTTAACGGACAATTCTTTTAAGTTACCTTTAACTGCAATAAACATCTCCTGAGCACATTTAGTTTCCACCTCCAGCTTACTTTCGTCCCATAACGTTATCAAGCCCCTTGTTGATTCAACCTCATGAGACACCACATATCCTCTCAGCAAATTCCCTCCTAATCTCCTTAGTAAGGAAGGATTGACAGCCTCCACCTTTGATTCTTGGATAAACATCAACACTGGTTTTTTCCCTATAATAAAATTCCTCACAGCCCTTTCCATTTCTCT